ATGTGAAATCCCCATTTCATGTCCTCAGATCTTTTGTGTCTGCTGGCTGCTACAGCAGCATGTATGAATGAAATGACATGTAGGGTACCTATGAGACTCGAAAAGAGACTGAACAATATTTAATGTGCTACAGTCTTGTTTTTGCTGAAAAGCTTTGCAAAATTATTGCTAACACAAACTTACCTATCAATACAGATATTAGCTAGTAGACTATTCTAAACTGCGATTTGTTCAAGACTTTTTTTTAAACACTTAAAACCTGACTTAACTATTCACGGCCAACTCTTTGCAATGTCTCAGATGTGACAAACATCCATCCAACACACCTACTGTGCCTGGAACTCAAACCAGCAAATAATGGCAATGACTGCTGGCACCACTTTCAGGCACCAGCGGTTTTCATTGGCCTGGACTAATCCCCCATAAATCCTTGCAGCACTCCAATCACCAGCCGGGCCTCAGCTAATTGCTTATGAGTCCCTTGCACGCTCCAGGTGCCACCGTAGCACACCCGGTGTTTGTAAACACAGCTCGTAAAGAGGAGGCTGCCATCAAAGTGTTAATGTTTCCTCGGAGGATCAGAGGCAGCGCAGGAATGATGGGGGTGCAGCTGGGCTGGTACCTGGATGGACTCAACTGAGGCATTCCCCTCCCTTCCCTGCAGCTGCGGCGAGCGGAGAGAGGGCTTCATTTACACGGTCCTGTCAGAGAAGAAAGACACTCAACAGGAGTTTGTGTTTGTTTACCTTCCTCGTCTTTTCTTTCCTCCTCTTTACTCTCTGTACTTCTTTGTGCATAAAGTAGATGACCTCACTTGGTAAGCACGACTGGGGATGTTCAGAGCTGAAAAAAAAAAAAGAAAAAAGTTTGAGATAGTTGTGTTTAGAGTGATGGGACCAGCAGATGTGTGTTTTTAAGTTGTGGAGCTCTTCAGATGTGCTCTTTGAAACCAGTGGTCTGATAATATTAGCAGCTAAGCTGTAGAGAGCGGTTAGTAGCACCTTTGTTTGCAGTCGCATTTTCAAGACTGTTATGAATACTCACATGCCCCAAATGGAAACTGTTTGTGTCGCTGTAATTATTGTTCCTGTCCATGCTGGCTGTAAAGAGTTTTTTTCCCCATCTCTTTGCATCAGATTACTTCAGAAGGGGATCTCTTAACTACATAGTAGTAATGAGAGGTACAAATACAGAAAACCAAAAGCACTTTCAATGCACATATGAGCATCTGAGTTCTGTATTAGACACTAGGGCTGCCCCCTAACAGTCGACCAAACATTAGTCGACCAGAAAGGTCATTAGTCGGCAAGATTTCATCAGTCACTTGGTCAAAGAGAAAAAAAAACAAAATTTAATTTGAAAGGACAGACACAGGAAGTGGCCATGCTCGGCAGTCAGACAGAAGTCACTTAACCTTAAACTCAAATCACTGTGTTGCCCCGCCCAAAATGTACAATTTAACAATTACATTAATGTCGTAAACATGCGGGCAACTAGTCGACTAATGGCCCTGAGTAACGACTATTGGTTGACTAGGAAAATTCTTAGTCGGGAGCAGCCCTGCTAGAGACCCAAGAACAACACCACCAGTTGTTTCAGTGTGAGCCTCAAAACATCTGTTTGCTATCAAGTGACAAAGACCTCCAGCAGCTGTAGTAATGAAGAGGGAGCAAAGGAGGAAGTCAGGTGTTACATTAGAGTAAAACAGTCAGCATAGGGAGACGGTTTGCATGGTTGAATGAGTCAACAAAACATCAGATTTACAACCGACAGTCAGTGTTGTTTTTTCTAAGCAAGGCCACAATCGTTCCCAAGCCTTAAGTTCGTCGCAATCGAGGTGTTTTCACTGAAGGGGGCCATTACTGTACCCTGGAAATCCAGAGTTCTCGCGAGAGCGCAATTTGAATTTGCTCAGCGAGTCACTCTGGCAATCAGTAATGATGCTCATTACCTATGCCCATGAAACCGAGCTGCATCAATCACATCGGTGTATCCAATATAGGCGGACCAGAGGCGAGCTAAACAGATGACGACAGCGCTGCGACGACGAAGTCCGGAATCAGTGAGTAAACATTGCAAGATGGCTACGGATGAACACCAGTTGTTTGAAACGGCTTTGGCCGCTACAATGAACGAGTTAGACTTGGCTTTTTCTCTAAAAGAGGAACAGAAGACGGTGCTCGAATCTTTCCTTTGCAAGAAGGACGTTTTTGCTGTTTTGCCGACCGGTTAAGGCAAGAGTCTAATCTACCAGTTAGCTCCGCTGGAAACTAAGCGTATAAGTCATCCCGTGTATTGTTCTGATTGGTCGTAGTGTTATCCAATTGCGTGCAGTGATATTTACAAATGCATGCTTGGTGCCACCCCTCAAGTTGGGCCATTTTCATTATTCATGGCCAGACCCTAAATCTTTCTAGATTTGGGTCTGGATTTCCAGGCTACCATTACTGTGTATTTACCTAAAATCCAAGATTCAAATGTACACTGGGCAAGCTAGACTAGATATGGCAAACATATTGGTGGGGGAAAAGAGTTCGACACAACACCGGCAACTGCCAGCACAGAGCGGATTTGTCAGTACAGAGAGTAATAGTTCGCATTAGCATGGTGTCAGTTTTGACAGCAAATGATAGAGTGTTTAGTTTTTGGGTGTAAACTACACCTATGTGAACACACTGTAACACCTTAGCACAGTGGTTCCCAACTGGTCCCGCCACGTGTTCCAGATTTCTCCATAGTCATTAGTTCAAGGTCCACACAGAGAGAGTTATACTTGTGTTTGGCAACGTCATGAAGCTAGTTTTCTGTCTCTGTTGAGTAGCTGTCCATTATTCACTCTCTCTACAGCAGGAAATGGCACTTTAAAATGAAAGCTCTGTGCTGGAAATTTACTGTACCAATTGCCTTAGCAGATACTATTGTGTGTTTCACAGACAGTAACACTGTGTCAGCCACTGCCAGTTACAAGCTAACAAGCTAAAACACAACATCAACAAATGAAAGATGCTAACTCCACCAACGATTATGATCGACTGCTAACTGCTGATTTTGGTGCACAGCAGACTCCTAATGTTAGCCACTAGCTAATGTTAGCCATCTTGATGCACACTGCTCTTCCACCAGTCAACCTAGCACTAGCCTCACATAGTCAGACTTATCTCCACACTTTGTTTTAGCACTGGAGAAAGCAGAAAGTGAATGGAACAGCGTAGGCAGAGGCCAGATCCAGAACTTCTCAAACAGGGATAATTTTCTTTTTTCTTTGTATATGGTAAAACCATCTCAAACAAAATGTTAATTAATCAATTAGTATTTCTACACACGTTGAAACATGTCTGGAAGGGAACAGTTTAACCAGGTGTTTACTATTGTGGCCATGAAGCCGAAGCATCCATAAGCTTAGCAAAGTAGTAATTTAAGCCTAAACCACAATGTTTCTATAACCTTACCCAAGTACTCATTTTAAAACAAACCATGAACTTTCCCTAAAGTTAACCAAGTCATTGTTGTGCTTAAACCTAACCAAACGTAAACTATGAAACAGAGAACAGATGCTTCTGGCAGGTACACTCAAATGATGTCATCTCGCCAATAAGGGTAATAAAATCAGGATGGACAAACAACTTATTTTGCCATTTAATTCAGAGGACTTGTGTATTAAGACAGACTTGGAAAAAATGTGAACGTACCCTTTAAAGTTCTAAAACAAATACATAACTCATTATTTCATGCAACAACATATTAAGTCAAGCCTTTGTGCCAAGTTCAGCTTTACTCTTCTTTCCAAACAAAATCTGAATTTGCACAAATAAATAAGTAGAAAGGGGGGTAGCACCTGCAAAACCCCTGATGTGAGCGTTTATTTTTCATTGCTGGATGGGTTAGACCAGTGAGACTGCTCAGTCACTGCCCTGCACAAGACTTGCGGTTGTACCAAAGCAGCTGGGGGTTGGTCAGTTGGGTGGCCAGTGGCCCACTGCTGCTTTTATGACTTGCGTTTCCTACCAGCTTTGGATCACCCTGTCCGTCAGCACCTTGATCTGGTGCTATGTTTACAGCATCTATCCAAAGCCAACAATCCCCTTTTCACAAATATACTGCAGTGCCTAGCCCTTGAGCAGCAACATGTTTTCTCTGCACAGACTTGGTTTTCAGGGGTGTTAAAAGATGATTCCGTGCTCTGATCAGATAGCAGGGCCACATCAGGGCGCTTTTGAAGGTGTAAGTGGGTGAATAAAGCCAGAAAAATATCATCCAGAAGAGAGCTTCATCTCTAGCAATTAGCTGCTATTCAGAACCCTGCGGTAAGCCCTCAGGTCATCTCCCAAACATCTCCTCGTCGTAGCCATGACAATGGGTGTGTGCCTTTATTTTTGTGTGCAGACAAAAACCAGATCAAGAGTGAACCACATGGGACTTGTTTGCAATCAGTGCCCAGAGGAAACAATTAGCCCACAAGCTTGCCAGCTTTTTCATGGGGTGAAGTGAGTTGGAGTGGCTGCTTAAGTGGCCCGCAGACACTGGTTTTGTGTCCCTCAGTAAACAACACTGGGCATCATAAGGATGGAGTGTCACATCTGGAGTCAGGAGGTTTGAATGGAAGCATACTCAGACAGCATGTATGTGTGTGCTACAGAAGTGTGTATGACAAATTTTATGTAGTTCAGGATGTGGTCCATAGGTGTGCATTGGTAAAGTTGCTCAATTAAGCTTCTATGAGAAAATAATGTTAATTTTCTGCCTTTTCTGATATGATCAAACCTTAAAATGATGTTAGAAATGCTAAGCTTGACTTGTCTTCACACAAAGGGAGCTCTCTCGGGCCATTGTGCATGTCCTGTGTATGTGTGTCTCTTTTTCTCTCCTCTTGGACTCCCTCTCCCCGGAGCATATGGCTGTCTGGTATCCTAATCGCTAATGATAGAGTGGCTTTTTGATGGGGAAACTCCCAAAGCTAGATGTTTCTAACCCAGACTCTTGTTCCCTCTTTTATTTTCCAGGCCTGATGGAAATCCGATCTGTCAGTGTGGGAGTTGTTGCCATCAAATCTGTCAGCACCGGGCTGTACTTAGCTATGTCCAAGAAAGGCACGCTCTTTGGATCGGTGCGTATACAACCTGGCAACATTGTTTCTGGAGGTCAAGATGGGAGGGCTGTGAAAGGGGAGGAGGGTGGCGAGGGTAGGGGAGGTATATGTGTATAGGGGTCCCAAATGAGTGCCTACCCAAACATGTTTGATTCTGCTGAAGAGAAGGGAATCTTCTGCCGGGAAGTCCAGAGAAAGTTCAGAGTGTTACAATCAATCATGGCTGTACACCTGGGCCCACGGCTGATGATACCTGCAGCTTGAGTTGGCTTGTTCCACTGTCAAAATAAATAGCAGAGAAGAGACACCCAACCAGCAGTGACAAAGAGCCAGCTGGGCTCCTTTAAAGGTCTTCGCGTGCCATCTGCCAATTGTTGTTTCCCACAGCAAGCTTTCAAAAGTAATCACCTCTCTTTGTTAAAATCAGCCACACATCAGACCTGAGGTGTGTGGTGTCTAGCTCATGTATTCACATCTTGGAAACGGAGAAATCAGGGACAAGCAATCAGTCAGCAGCAGTGATAAGAGAAGTGCCTTTACCGTAGTAAATAAGACATAAACAGATCTGAAGACCCAGGTCTGAAACCCCACATAATGAGAAAAAAGGCAGGTGAATCATGGCAGTCTCATACTATCCTGATGCTATCACAGACAGGGCCTCATTATGGCAGATAAGGATCTGGAAAAGGGAATGCAGCAGAATCTCTTGTCACTACAATATCTTTCAAGACTCTGTGACTGCCTGATAAGAGGTGGTAACCACCCATGGAAAAAGTGGCTGTTGGGTTACCTTCACAGATCAGTATACCTGTAAAAAAGGCCCGTTACTTAAAAGAAGACTTGGATCAGAAAGGAGAAACAATGATTTTCACATCAATTGTTGATTAAAAAGGTATTTTTCATTAATAACTTTATTTTGAGAATACTATGGGTTTTGTTCACTCAAATTATTCTCAATATTTTATCAATTTTCGCTAGTAGTGTGTAACATTTAGGGGGATTTAGTGGCATCTAGCAGTGAGGATTGCAGACTGCAATGAGCTGAAACTTCTCCTGGTTAGAATTCCTTCAGTGTTCATAGTTCTGAGAGTTTTTCCTGGGAGCCAATTTATTCGCAAAGGTCTCCTCCTCCTCTCAAAAACAAACAGGCCAGAATAAAACCAGTAAAACACTGAAGAAAACAGTTTCAGGTTAAAAATCAGTATTTCTCCAAAGCTGTTTGTCATGTCTGAGTCTGGCTCCTGTTAACCTCTGTTAACTTCATGTTTGCTCTATCTCCAGCCAGTGTTTGGTTTGTCCATTCTGGGCTACTGTAGAAACATGGTGGTGCAAATGACAATCTCCATAAACGAGGACCTGCTCCCTTTGCAGATATAAATGACTCATTCTAAGGTTACAAAAATACAATTCTTATTTTCAGGTGATTATACATTAAAGAAATGTACTTGTCATATCATATTCCACTTCTGCCAATATATCCCCCTGACTCATACACACTGGACCTTAAAGAGCATTGTTCACCCTAAATGTTCTCAATATTTTAGGTTTAATTTGTGGTATTCTGATCTCTTTTGAGGTTTTGAATTTGTGTCTGCTGCTGAAACCGTTAAAGAATGTAATTCAAAAATAGCAACATTTTATTCCAGTAACAATGTCCTGGTTACTCAGGATATATCACAGACCTCATTGTGATCAGTTTCAGTCAGTGATCAGTTTTCAGAGGTCAGTCCCAATGAAAACTTAACTGTGGATTATTGCGAGTAACCAGAACATTGTTTCTGGAAAGACATGCTGCTTTTGGGTTTAAATTCTTCAATGCTTTGAGCAGCACAAACAAAATTCCACCGACGCAAACTGTATGGGTTGATGGGAAAAAAGTTTCAGAGGTGGACATCTCGAAACCTCAAAACTGTTTGTTTGGCTAGACACAAAATTATGTTGGTTTTTTTTTCAGTTTGGGTGAACCAGCCCTTTGATTCTGCTTCTACTGTAGCATTAAAAAGACAAACCAGCTTAATACTTGATGCAGAACTCTATCAGCTACAAACACCAGGCAGGTCTTTTACTGCAACAACAGATATTAACCTTTGTGCACTTGGAAGCTGGCCTAGCATAGCACAGCAGGAATAGCAGTCAGCTGTTTGCTATTCACTCATCTGTTATAACCTCTTTAACGTCTCTGTCTTCCTCCCTGTGATCGCAGGTGAAGTACAACCCGAGCTGCAAGTTCAAGGAGCGCATTGAGGAGAACGGCTACAACACGTACGCCTCCCTCCGTTGGAAGCACGGTGGCAGGCAGATGTTTGTTTCGCTGAATGGGCGGGGAAAGCCACGGCGAGGCCACAAGGCTCGTCGAAGACACCCGTCTACTCATTTCCTGCCCATGCTGCCCTCCTAGCTGCCCAAGCCTGAACTCTGACCGGCGACTGGCCGGCTCACCTGCCTCCTCGCACTAGTGTTGATCTAGCCATGACAGCAATCTTTATTTTTATTACTCCATCCTCCTGTCACATAAATGTACATTTGTTGAGGGTTGTAACATTTGTAGAGTTAGTATAATATGTACTTTTAAGTTATTTTCTCCATTTTCTAATGATGTTCAATAATACAGTAAATATACAGTAGAATTATACTCCAGGCATCTGTCTGGCCACAGTATCTGTCTGTGTGTCTGAACTGCATGTAAAGCAATGTTTGGGTGAATTTAAGAGGCTATAAGAGGGCTGAAAAGGGACAGCAAGGCTAAGAAACAACAAAATACGGCTCACTGGTTTGTTATTTAGCCTTTTTTTTTTTTTGATGCTCAGCTAAATATGAACGAAAGCATCAGGTACAGCAAAAATTATATTTTCAAGTTTCACTATTAAAACAAAAATAAGCAACTTTGAAATAACTACAAGCCAGGGCCACAGCTCCGACTGAGGATGCTGATGTTCTCTGTATTTCTGGTTGACTTTTAGGTGGTTGGGGTCCCCAGTATTTCACTGAATTTACATATAGACCAAATCACCATGTTTGTTTGTAATGACTTCCGGGTAGGAAAACACACCCACATCACATACATAAAATGAAACTGTGCTGAGCAAGCGCTGCCTCAATTGGTTAGTTTTTAGTTACCTAAAAAAAGGTCCACCTAAAGTAATCAATTTTAGTTTAAGTGTACATTATATTTAGAATATTTTCACTGCTTTACCTTGCTGTCAGACAGCCTATTCTGGGAACTGAAGCTGTAAAGTCACTAGACTCCACTGACAAAAACAGTAATTTTACCTTGCAAAACACTGGAGTTGCCACTCTCCACTGCCTCGATCAATTAGTGTGTAAGGTTAAAGCGGTGAAAATATTCCAAACATAGTATTTACTTACACTGATTTAAAAAAAAAAAAAGCAACACAAAACATAAAACAAGCACAGCAGAAATGTCAGATAGGTTGGACCACCATGTTAAACAATATATATTTAAACCTTATAGATAGGGTTAAAAAAAAGACAACATGAATAAACAAGTTTGTGGATTTTATACATCTCCACTATTTAATAAATCAATTACCAGTTGCCTGCTCGGAAGTGATTGTTTTTGTTCACGCAAAATCATGGTGAAAAAAAATCGTTTTTTAGACATTTCATACATGAAATGTGATAGTGAAAAGTTTCACATGCTATTTTTTTGTAAGGCTAAATATGACTAGACCAGGTGTCGGCAACCTTTACTATCACAGGAGCCATTTTTGACAAAAATATTTAAAAAACAAAAAACAAACCTCTGTGTGGAGGCGCAAAACATATTTGACACTTTTAATGAAGGTAAAACAGCCTATTAAGTCCAAATTAGCCTATACTAATAGAACTAAATGAGCATTCTTTCATGTTTTACCATAATGTGGCCGCTCTGCAGGGCTCTATCTATAATTACTTGGTACTTTAACTTTGCAGAGCTGGCAGTGAAAGCAAACAAATCTGTCCATGCACTACTAAAGTCTCTACTTTATTCCGAGACTTTTACTTTTTTTGGATTTGGCATCCATAGCTAACCAGCTAGGAAGTCTCAAGACTAGCTACTGCTATTGAGGTTCGGCAAAGTTTCAACTGGACTACATACATTTTAGTTGTCTTTATTTGGTATATAGGCTTCATATTTTTTACTATTGGAAAATGTAAGAATTTCTTTGAGCCTACAACACTGGCATATAAAATCAAAATGTCGAAAAAATAACTATTATTCATTTCCATTTTTTTGTCAAAGCCACAGGGCGCCACTGGAGAGGGGCTAAAGAGCCACATGTGGCTCCAGAGCAGGTTGCCTACCCCTGGACTAGACCAACAGTAGGCCTAAACAAAACAACTCAACAACAGATTTTATATAATGTGGAGTAAAGTGGTGAGGGTTCATATCATTCAAAAACAACATGACAAATAACTAATAAAAGGGGGGATTTGGACCTGTGACCCGAGTATTTCTAAAATCCTGGCTATGGCCCTGCTGCAAATCCAAAACCCTGACTGTTGCTTGGGATATACCGTACTGACACTACTGGATAAGAAGAGACACTGATCTGCACCTGAACTGCACAGAGGAGATAAAATCTCTGCTGACTCAAACACATTGATAAATGTACTGTTCTGTCTGTATATGTCTACGTATGATAAGAACACAACAGAAACTAAGCTAACTACTGGGATAATATGCTGGATGACCTTTTACATGTTTGTGCATGCTTCTGTCGGACTGCTTCTCTCATTCAACCCACAGCTAATAGATTAGGAATCAGTATCAGAAAAAAATGCATTGTGTCTCTAGTCTCTGATTCTTGGTCCTTAATTCAGTCGTGAAATAATAATATACATTTTGAGTCATTTAATGCATTATAGCAGCCATAGGTAACGCAGATGTCACATAGTGACAACTTCATTAATTTTGTACACAGTAGTAAATGGTTATTACATACTGCCTCTCTGTTAAGTCTAGCTAACATTTTCTCAAAAAGGCTGTTGCTAATAGAACATTTAATATATTTAAAACATTTTGTACTCTTTAACTGTTTGAAGTTGATGTTTATTGTTATTGTCAACTTCTTGTGTTGGATTGTAGTCATACTGTTAAAAAAAGAAGAAGGGAAAAAAGTAATCGTATTCAAGTCCATATTCAGCTCATTTTGTATGGTATTACTACTGGATATCGGTACAATTGTGATCCACTTATCATAAACAGCTGTCAGCTATATAGGCCAGTAATAGTAGGTTGTATATAAGGCCAACGTCTCAGAACAAAGTCTTTAGATTGATTTCAGCAAAGTGAAATCATTCGAGTGCCTTGGTCCATGCTGAGTTTGGTAAACTTCAATAAAAAATGTGGATGAATCATGAGTCATGGCTCACTCCCTTACGCTAGCAAGCCTTTTTAGAATCTAGTCTGAAAAAGTATGAAGTGCAAAGACAGCATTTTAATCTTGTCTCGTGCGTGGCACTGATTGTTAAGTGTTGCTAACATCTCCATCAGAGCTCTCCAACATAATCCCCCTCCTCATCATAATCATGACAAAACTCACAGCAGGAGAGGCGTTGATGTGGAGGATCTCCCCGTGTCTGATGAAAGGTCTGCGGTTATGAACTATGCACCCAAGCATCAAGGTCATTTACACACAGACGAGCCCTCCAGTGGCACAGGAGGCCACTCGGTCCTTTCAGTGAACAGAAAGGAGAGTCTGGGATGAATAGTGGCTGTTTGGGGTGAATAAAGGCCAACCTTTCAGCCTGTCATAATGTGAGATTACTGTGACGGGGTACATGTCTGGTCAGAATGGCGTGAAGTCACACTGTAGTGCCGCTCCAAAAGGTCTGGGTGCAGCACACAAATATCAGTATGGGGGGTCTGCCAGTACTGTTGCCATGCAAATGTCTTTGTTCTCAGCTGTGAGGGATTGTTAAATTTTAAACTATTTGTAATTGTTCTGTTTGTTGCTGTTATTTTTAAACTGTAAAACACAGACATGTCATCTAAAAGAGAGGTTTGGCTTTTTTGGCCTCTTGCTTTTTTGGCTAAAAGTTAAGTGAGAAAGACGATAGCACTTTCATGTCTATACGCTAAATATGAAGCTTTCATTAGCAGCCAGCTAACTTAGCTTAGCAGAAAGACTGGAATTGGGGTGTCTAAAGGTAACAAAATCAGCATAGCAACACCAAAGCTCACCAAAGAAAACACATATTGTTTGTTTTACCTGTACAAATGCCAGAGTATAGAAATGGCCAGTTGCAGAAACTCCAAGAAGTCACTGGGCCCAACCAAGAAATAGTGGTGCCATGCCGTTGTTCCAACTGCCCAAATTTCCAAAGCCCCATTAGTCCATAAAATGTACAATTGGAGCAAAAGCCCATTTCTCCTACAACCTGTTATCCCAAAGACAAACACCCATTGCTCCGAAGTCCTGTTTTTCTGAAAGTTACACACTCCTTACAGTTAGTTTTAGTTTTCCAGCAGCATCTCAGCCACTGATCCTGGGTGTATTTAATGACCCTTCGCAGCTTTTTTCTGTAGCATATGAGCCACCAATCCATGGTGTTTTTACAGACTTTTCACCGTGTTTCTTGGCGGGATTTGAGCAATCACTCTGTGTTTTTACCAACCCTTCGCTGCGTTTCCCTGCTGCATTTGAGCCTCCAATCTCTGCATTTTTACCGAACCTTCACTCCGTTTCCCAGTGGTGTTTGAGCCACTGAACCCAAGTGTTTTTCGCTGACCTGTCCCTGCTTTTTCAGCATTTTTGTGCCACCAAATGTGGGTGCTTCAAGCTAAAACATGATCTTTTTCTATCCATTACCAAGAGGTTTTTGTGCCTTTACCTAAACACACATTCACTACAGCATTGTTGAGAAACTTACAGTTTCAACGTATCTGCTTTAAAATAATGTACAAATGTAACGAATGATCTACCGAAATGTAGCTATAAGGTGAACATTTTTTCTGGTGACTTGGTTGGAAAAACAGGATTTGGGAGCAATGGGCGTTTCTTTTTTGGATAATGGGCTGTCAGAGAAATGGGTTTTTGGTCCAATGGGACATTTTTTGGACTATCAAGGCTTTGAACTTTTGGGCCATCGGAACAATGAGCAGTCCCCAGAATAGCTCCCTGTTAAACAGCATTCTTGTTTTTACATTTTGGTTTTCGAGACCAGTTTTTCCTAGCAGTTTCCCTGTGTTCCAAGTTGTTCTGCTCAGTCAAGTTTCATCAGAGAGAATACGTATAATAAATATTTCAGTCTTTTTAAGAAAATACTCCTGTGTGTAACTGTGCCAAATACAGTGCATTTAAGTTTTACAGGTGTCTCTGAACATATGATCATTATCCAACCCTCAGCTGGCAAAGACACACTAAAACATGCACGCCACAAAGTAATCCCATTTTCTGCCTGTTCTCTCGATTGACTCGCCTCTTTGTCAGTGTGTCCTCCATGTTTTCTCCTCTACCTCTCCTCTCTCCTTTTTTAACCGTCCAAGAATCTCTCCTTTCTTCTTGGCCTGAGGGTGCGACTGCCTGTTGGTGCCAGTTCCAGGGACACCAAATGGGAGCTGTAATTATCATTGCTCCACCACTGTCCTGTCAGTGTGCTCGCCAGCAAAACAAGAGGGATCCTTTGGAAGTCCTGATCAAAAGCTTTGGCCTTTGATCACGAAGCAAAAGGAAAAACCTAAACACTGTGTAAAATCAACGAGGAATGTCCAAAAGAGAACCCAGGAGAATGGAAATGACAGCCATCCAGAAGACATCCTCTGCTCCTCCTCTGCCATGATGTGTTGATGTCAG